AAGTGTTTGCAAACGTGGACTTCATCAACCGCTTCAATCTATGCTGCCACGCCTTTCTTCAAGATACGAGTATAGCAGACGAGGTCCCGACGACGATCTCTGAGCTTCGGCCCATCCCAAATCCCCCGACAATGCCCCGTGCTAATTCCTATTCCTCTTCCCCACACTCTGGAATTCTTTTGAACTCCTCACCGTGACGAAAGAAGGAAACTCACCAATAGCAAAACGTTATATCCTAGTGAACCCACTTCGATCCCATTCGCGAAAATTGCAAAATCCAGCTCTGGTTTAATATTTGTGTTTTCTGTATGGATCAATGCTGGTTAAGTTGTTTTAGGAATAGTCTTTGTTTTGGCGGTGTTTGAATGTTTTGAAATTCTTATGCCTTCACTAGCTAAATGAAGATATATTCTGTGTTCATCACACATCTGTATGTGTTTACTATTGTTACTACATTTCCTCCTGCTTTTTTATGAAAGAAATGTTTGAGCAAGGAGCCAAATTATAATGGTTTTTATAGGATTCATCATGATTTATATTTGTTAATATGATTGAAGCTAAATTACCTTACCCGGTAGCTACTGTAATAGAATTACTATATAAGGAGATATTGAGCGTTTCAACATAGGAAATGGAAGTAAAGTTCAAAGAATGAGTTTTCTGCCATGTGGGCTACCTTTTATGATTCTGTTACTTGTACCTAAAATGTAATTTTTAAAATATTTAGGTTTCTCCTTGGCATGATATTCCATTGCCATCGGGTGATGATATCTTCAACTTCATTGTTGAGATTCTTAAAGATCAATTGCAAAGACGGAGGTTTGCCAACTGATTACGCTTTCACTCGATAAAACAAGATACAGAAAAGGGAAAGCTTTGATATTACCCGTGAGATACAATTTCTGAGCTCATGTTGTTTCTTCTTTCTTATTCTCAATTACATTTATTTGTTATTGGCCAGTTCACTTTTAACGTAAATCTATCCTATATTATGTTTATTGCCTTATTGTGTTGAGATAAATGTGGTGTGATATTTCTTATTTAGTGTTGTCTTTTACTACCATAATCTACTACTTTCAAGGGTTCACTACCCATTGCTTACCTTTGATAGTTACCCTTCCTTTAAATGCCCATTTTCATGTTAATTTTGTAATCCTTAACTAGTTGAAGCTTTTTGCATCTCTCATTTAACACATCCTTGATTCTTTACTGTTCTGGTTGAGATCTAGCTAGATTGATTTGGTTTCATATTTAAAGCCTATTCTTAAATAAACACATCTTATTCATGTTCTTCCAGCTACAATTACATTGGACTATGCTTACTTCCACGAACATGGGAAAATCCATCTTTTGCAAACTCACAGTTGAAGGAGAACTGGAGATCACGATCCAGGTATTCCTTAATAGATTGTAGAACTTCCCTCCCTACCATAATGGTTAATATTATGAAATACAACACAATATGTCTGACTCCATGTAATTTTGCATTGATGTTCAGCCCTAACTTTCTTGTCTTCTTAGACCAAATTTGAAAATTGACCGGTGTAATTTGTCATTTACGTGGTATTCTTCTGCTTTCCCGATTTCGAGATCTTCGCTTGTACCGATCGGTTTCGCGTTCTATATTGGGTATTGTAGCTGTCATGTCTTTGACTGAGCACAGAAAGTTTTCAAGTACGGGTAGATAGTTCTTTTCTTATGGGTTGTAATGAACAATACATGGCTGAAACTGTAATATTTTGTTGTTTGACTTGATGAATAAGTTTGTGTGTAGAGTGACCTTGTTTTGTATGGATCTGTATGAGTGAATGTGGAAATGAAAATTGCTGTGTAAATTGATCTCCGGGAAATGGCTAGAAATGGTACTCTTAAGTCTGGTTGAATTTCTACAATAATGCTTCTGAGAACGCGACAAGTAGCGGTCGGCCATGCGTTGATTTTGTAACCGTTTCGGGTTTAGGTGTTGATTTTGATCCATTTAGTTAGGTGTTGATTTTGGATCGTTTGGTTAGTTGTTGATTTGGTACCGTTCGGTTATGTGTTTGATTTGGTAACCTTTCGGTCAGTGTTGATTTGTTAACCGTTCGTTCAGTGTTGATTTGGTATCATTCGGTTAGGTGTTGATTTTGTATGTACCGTTCGGTTAGGTGTTGATTTTTTACGTTTGGGTTAGGTGTTTGACTGGTACTATTCGGTTGGTGTTTATTTGCTACCGTTCGGTTAAGTGTTCAATGGTACCGTTCGGATCAAGTGTTTGATTTGTTACCGTTCGATAGGTTTTGATGGTATCGTTCGTTTCAGGTGTCGATTGTTACCGTTCGGTCAGGTGTTGAGTTGTTACCGTTCGGTCAGGTGATTATTTGGTACCGTTCGGTTAGGTGTTGAGTTGCTACTGTTCGGTCAGGTGTTGAGTTGTTACCGTTCGGTCAGGTGTTAATTTGGTACCGTTCGGTCATGTGTTGAGTTGTTACCGTTCGGTCAAGTTGGGATTTGTACCACCGTTCGGAGCAGTTCATGTGTTGATTTGGAGCATCGGTCATTGTGTTTGATTTGGTAGCGTTCGTCTTGATGGTGCTCGGTCTTGATACTGCTCAGTCTAGTGGTACGTGGTCAAGTAGCGTCAGTCAGGCTCAGGTGTTTCCGACCAAGGCTCTACCGTTCGGCCCAGGACTCTAGGTGATTGACAAGGCTCTAGGTGTTCGGCCAAGGTCTAAGCATTCGGCCAAGGCTCTAGCGTTCGGACCAAGGCTTTAATAAGCGTTCGCTAACGGCTTTTATAATTTTTACAAAGCTTTCGGCCAGGGCTCTAGGTGTTCGGCCAAGGCTCTAAGCGTTCGGCAAGCTCTAAGCGTTCGACCAAGGCTCTAAGCGTTTGGCCAAGGTTCTGAGTGTTCGGCCAAAGCTCTCAGTTCTCGGCCGAAGCTCATAGCGTTCGGTTCAAGCTCATTTGCTCTTGTTTTGGTTTGAATTAAAGTGTGCGGAATGATTTAAATGCATAGTATATGATAGTGTTAATTTTATTATATTGAAAGATGTGAATGTAGGAAACAATGTTTGGTGGTTGAATGTAAACACGTATGTTTAATGGACGTAATTCCATGGATCTCAGGGAGGTCACATGGTGGTGCCCTAATGTGTAATGGACGTATTTCATGGCCTCAAGGTGAGAATTCATGGTGGTGCCTCCAGTGTTTCGAATGAATGCATGGTAGCTCAGTCTGGGGGTTTTCCTGACGCTTCAAAGGTCTTTCATTCTCAGTATAGAGGATTGATCGCATGTGGTGGAGGAGTAGCAGGAGGTCCTATTCTGGGGTGCTCTAGTATGCCCAAGGTGGGTGTTAACGGGATAACCTCATGAGTGTGGTAAGGTGAAACCCAACCTGGCAATGGCCTTACAAGCAGTAAGGCTCCACCATGAGTGTCATAACCCAACCCCCATAGCTCGGCACTCATTCTAGTCCGGACAGTCGGTTTTATAAGTAACAGTCTTTGTGAGGTCCATTTTAAACCATGTTTTGAGTGACTTTTTGCATGTCGTGTGAGGTTGAATAACATGTTTTTTTATATCTAGCTCACCCTTGCTTTTTTGTTGTTGCTTGTGTATGTTTTCTTTTGCGATGATCATCCACTTGGTGGGAGCAGATGGCGAGGAGGATACTTTGGAAACAGCTCTTGACGGGACGACAGTGCTGCAACTTAGATTTGCTAGCTTTTATTCCATGAACTCATATTATTTTGAAGAACTTTAGTGCATTTAAAGTTTTAAATTCTCTTAAATTTCCAAGGAGAAACTCTAATGCTCTAGTTTTCAATTCCACACTATTCTAAGGATGACTCTAATCCTTAATTACTCTTGATTGCTTCCTATATTATGGATGATGATGTCTTTATTATATATGTTTTTCTATATATTTTGGGACGTTACAAGTATAATTATAATTAATTTTTTATCATTTCAGCAAGCTGGTGATGCAAATGAGCCCAGTCTCCCATTTGAGTACAAGATCAAAGACATTTCATCTTGTGGAAGTAACATTAGGGGAGTTATAAGTTTTTTTTTTTAGGATAAAACTATATTAGTTTATTTATGAATTTGAGTAACTTATTGATTAAGTTGTAAGGATGAGTTTTATTTTAAATTGAGTTTAGTTACTATGATGATTTTGACAAATGAATTATATGAATTTGTGATGTCATTAATATGTTTGAATATTGTTTTTCAATAAAATATTTTTGATTCAAATATAAACCACCTCAATGGTGGCGAAAATTAAATCATTCTAGCAAAATAAAGTAATAAACTTAAAAATTAAATCATCCAAATGGGGAGGTTGACAACTTCCCAAGTATAATTGTCAAATTGAACAGTATATATTAATATCACAAAATAGTGTAAAAAATATAGGTATTTTTTGTAATCAAATGATTGAAAATAAAGGAGGTTAAAAACTGCCACAAAATAATAGTCATTAATTGGTTTTTACTCTCTGCAGAAAAACTTCTGCAAATTGAATGTGATACCAGGGGTCGCGAAAAATATATATATAATATACGCATTTATTTATTTCGATGTATCTAAACCTACCATCCTAGATTCTGTTCCGTTGACATCAAAGTCAACGTTCCATATAATTTTAATTATAATGATTGTTACCAACACCCAATGGAATTCCCATATTTAATTCACCTTTAAAACAAAGAAATAAACAATAAAAAATAAAAAATAAACAAATAAAATAAAATAAAATAGAAGAAAGAAAGAAAACACATGCTCTCTTTCTTCACGTTGTGTCGTTGACATATCTAAACCCAACACAAACCGCATCCACAACATACCATAAGCATCTCGCACGTGCGGGAGCCGGTGAGCCGAGCCGACACGCGCGCGAAGCTGCATCAAGATTCGATGCGGAAAATAACGGTTTCGAGGGGAAACCAAACCACAGTCGTCTGATCCTCTTTCTCTCTCTCTCTGCCAATTGTGGTGTGTGTCTCTTTTCCCTCGATGCTCTCTCTTAATAATACCAAACCTTCTATCACTCTCTCTCTACATTTCTCTCTCCACCTCTTCGATTTTTCTCTCTCTTTCGCTCTGCCCTCGCTCTTAGGTTATCGCCTATTCTATCTCTCTTTCGATTTCTGTTGAGCTTTTTTTTTTCCGATTAACTTTAATTAATTGCGCAACTTCGAGTTCTGCTTGGTGTGTCGCTGGAACAGGCAGACGAATTTATTCACTGGTAATTTTTCTTAGAAGTGTTTTTTTTCTTCTGATGTTTAGGGTTTCGCTGCTTCGGATGCGCAAGGAGGTAAGTCGAATGCGATTCCGATGCGGTTTTTGAAATTGGATGTGGAATTCGGTGGTTTGCTTGTTTCTTGAATTGAAATTTTTCAGTGTTTTTTTGTGTTTTGAATTTTTTTTTTTGCTGGTGATGGTGTTGAGTGTGGACCACTAGGGTTCACTATGTTTGGTGATTTGAATGATTGAATAGCACTGGTTTGAGTTTTGACTTGCATTGTGGATTGTAATTCTCGTTGAAAATTACTCGATTTATTTTTTTTCCTAGATACTTGAACTTGCGCTCTACAAGTGTGGCTGCTTGGAAACCTGCGAAAACTAAAAATCTTTGTACAACGAATGTTTGTTAATTTTTTGTTTGACTCTCAATTGAGCAATAGCTATGTAATTTATTTTACTGAGTGTGCGTGGTGTCATTTTTTTTTTTTTTCTGATGGTAGGTTTGGATTTTATCTAATATAGACTTGTGAGTTGTTGAAAATAATTCTAAACGTCAAGTTAAGCAGTTAGCCTTGCGAAGACCTGTTAAAAACTATAATTTTTGGTATAAGGAATATTGATTTAATTTTTTATTGATTCTCCATTAAACAACAGATATACAGTGTTTTTGTTTTTCATTTTTCGTGAGCATGCATGATGTTTTTTTTTTCTGTTGGTGGTTTTCAATATTTTATCATTCATCCTTTTGACTTGTTGAACACATGATTCGTTGTACTTGCATGTGTTATGAATGGGGTGAACTTCGAAAAGCTCACATTTGTCCCCACCCACTTTGATTTAACTATTCAAATATGTGCTTGCCTTGGCCATCTGTTGTGGCTCACCGGTATTTGTTATCACTGTTCTTTCTTGATTTGAAGAAGATGCACTTTGTTTATTGGAATTATTACGGAATATGCAAGGTAACGTGATGTATTCTAACAGGCAATGTGAATTCATTACTTTGTGGAGACTAGAAATCCTATGAAAAGCCACTGTAAATGTTTGTTCATGGGAAATTCATCCTAATGTGCAGTTGGAGAGGGTGTTAGTGAACATTCTTTTAGTGGGAAACATTTATTTTTTTGGAAATCTGTTAAAGAAAGCCTGAAAAACATAAGCTTAATTTTATACACTATGCTCATGTTGGTATGCATAAATTATTATACATTTGTTTGTTGTGCAGCTACGAGACAAGTGTATAAACTTGTATTATATTATATTGGTATGCTTCTCGTAGGCATTCATTATGAATAACATCCCTTTCTGTATGTTATCTGAGTTTAAGTTGCTAGGGTGTTTTGTTGATGTGATATATCTAAGGGCATACTTAATGCGGGGATTTGATGTTTTCATAATTAGAATATAATGGCAGAGGAGTGGCCAATCCTGTTGTGTTGCTAGGTTTGCTCAGGAATGGAATGATATTTTTATTTTTCATTCTGCTTTATGTTTGGTAAAGAAAATAAAGATAAAATTGAATCTTCATTAACGAGGAATGATGAAATAAATTCCAGTGTAATTTTTTTATACAAACTGATTTAGATAGGCCTGTCAATCACATCTAGTGATTCAAAATCAATTTTAGCCAAACCTTTCACTAAAAAGGTTCAAAGGCAAACATTAATTTGTTATAGCCATTTACCTCTCTTCATTGGCATGGAAATTTCTGCCTCTAATAATAAGCATGGCATCAAATTTTTCTTTTCTTCTAAACTTAGCCATAATTATTCTTATGGAATAATGATAAGAACAGATTGATGCGTTAAATTCCAAATATGCTAAAAGATATTATGTAAAGGGTGGTGATTTTTATAGAGATAATACTGTTTAACTTTTCTGAATATTAAACTTGGAAATGGAAAGTTGATATAATTGACATTGTTTAACAGTGGCACTTTGAAGTCGTTTATGGATGAAAGATGTTCATTAGAAGTCAAGAAGGTGGTGTTTTACTATATTTTGGTATAGTGTGTTTTTGAAGAATTGTTCTCGTGTCCATGGCTGCTGATCAAAGGAGAAAACGAGTTAATGGTGCAAACATTGCTGGTTATGGTTCCAGAGAGCAACAAAGGATCAAAAGGAAGAATTTGGGATTAGTTCAAAATGATTTAAACATGAGATCTCACATCTCTGTTGAGTGGGATGGTAATCAGAAAAAAGTTGTTGCTAAGAGGGAACAGGTTGGCATCAGTTGGAGACAAACCAAACCATTTATCAATTCTGTTGCCAATGGTCACAAACTCGTGGCAGATGTGCTTACAGTGCCTCAAGAAATTTTTGACTTAGACAACTTAAGTGATGTGCTTTCATACGAGGTAATACCATGTTGTGGTATGTTTCTATTGTTTACAGTCGAAAATAGATTTTATTTTGTCTGGGAATTATGCCTAAATCATCCTCCATGAAACTTTTGGCAATTGGCAGGTTTGGATGACCCATCTTTCAGAAAATGAGAGAAACCTTCTCATGAATTTTCTTCCTAGTGGCTTTGAGCCACATCAAGTTGTGGAAGATTTGCTTGCTGGGATTAACTTCAACTTTGGAAACCCCTTCACGAAATGGCAAGATCTCTTTCTTATTTTTTTTTTCTTTAAATACATTATGTGCTCACTCTGCTATATTTTACAGTTTATATCATAAGTACATGCTATATGTGACAATTTCTTTAAATTTCAATGAATCAGTGGATTTGTTGTTGAGGTAATGTGTCATTTAGTTTTATTATTGGCCTTTGGGTTGAGTTTACCAGCATTACAGATTGCATATTTCAGCTATGAATTCCATTTGGTGCTTACTTTATATTTAATCTGGGGTTTATTATATCCACAGCACACTGACCACTTTTCTTGGGTCTCCTTTTTTCTACACAAATTTCTCATTTGCAACTTGAAATGATTTTATTTGGTTGAAATTATGTCTTGTTCTTCACAGCTCCAATTCTTTTTTTTTTCCTTCCTCATATTCATTAGGAAATTAGGAAACCATCGCTGTATGCGCATCTGGGTTGAGATAATTTATGGATTCTGAATTTATGACAAAATCATATTGCAATCTCATCAAGATCCTCTTTTTTTATTTATTATTTTGGAGAAAAATATCGTTAAGACATGGTAAGCTATTTATCTAATCTGCTAATCATTCATGAAAATCTTCTCTTTTTCAGAGTCACAAATGTCTAAAATATATATTTGCAGGGGTGCTTCGCTTTGTTTAGGTGATCTTCATCCAGATATGATTGTTTACCGGGAACAGCATCTTAAATCTCTAAAGAGGGAATACTACTCGCACATACATAATTATCACAATGAGTAAGCCTTATACATGCTCAACATGTATTATTTTTGGTATGTTGTTTAACAAGTATTGTAATTCTTATATTTTGCAGTATGATAGGATTTCTGTCCAACTTGAAGCAAATCTGGCAAAACTGTAAAGATCCAGAAAAGGAGATTGTGCAAAGGATATGGAGGTTGACACTTTCCATGTATTGCAATTTACATACATTACACAGCTGACGACATTCAAAATTAGGACAAGACATATTATGTAGTTCCTTTTTTATTAAAAGGATATCTTAGCTGTTTTCAATACTTGCATTGGTTATTCCCTGAATGTAACAAGATAGCTCATTGTTGCACAAGCTGGGTCAATGCATATTCTACTTCAGATGATAATTTTGATTCTTAATTAGCTTGAGACATCATGTTACTTGAAATCTAAGATGGTAAAATCCTGTGAATCTTTTCTGTGATGTTTGTATGATCAAATGGGACTTTCCCATATTTCCACTTGACTACTGTCTTCAGTAAACAATGTCTTCATTCATGTGTATCTGTCTGTTTTATATGTTTACTGATAGAGTTTTAGATTGTTTAAGCATCAACATTTTATTTTGTTTCAATTGATATTTAGCTGTGACTTTGTAGAATGAAATCCTTTGATAATTGTTTGGTGAAATAAATTGGTGGATTTTATTTTTGGGTCCTAAATGGATGATAATTGGCTTATTAATGATAATTATTTGTGGTAGAGGTAGTGGTTATGATGAGTGCTACTGTCATGAATTAGTTGTCGTTTTTGTTGATATGCAAGTATTTCTGTTATGCTACATGTGATCTCTTGTTGGGCACTCAAAAGTCCTGATTACTGAACTTGGATTTAATGAGGTTATGTTCCTTCTTTCTTGGAATTTTAAGTGCTAATCATTGACGTTGTAATATTGTTGGATTACACAGGTCAAAACGTGTAGAGAAAAGAATACCCTCAAAAGTTATTGAATCTAGAGTTTATGATCATGATGGGAATGTTACAGGGACATCTGAGTCAATCTCCTGGGATGCAGAGGATAAAGCATGCAGTAGTGACAACCAAATTTCCTCACTGAGAAATGATGATAAACTTCAAAGAAGGTAACTAATAAATTCTGCTGCAATATTTAGGACTTATAGGCTCTCTTGACTCAGCAATCTCTGTCAAATTTTAATTCTTTATGATTGTAGTGATTTTGGTTTATCAGTGCCTCCATTTTCCATCTCTTAAGCAAAGTAGACTATTGTTCTGTTAAAGCTGTGATATAGAAATTTAAGATATTTGTATATTGGTCATGATTGCTTATTTGGATTATTAAGATTTCTGCATCAATAAATGAACTTCCTAACTCACTTTAAGTTGATTACTTACGTCATCCAATCAGATGAAAACTCACATTTTAGAGTTTAATGCAATATGAATAACTAGTTTAATATCATCTTCACTAACCTGTTATTTCACATTGTGGTGCTATCATTATTTTTTGTCATTGGCGTACTGTCTTCTTTAGAGCTGCTTTTGGTTCTCCTTCATCATTGCCATCATGATCATCATCACAGTGCATTATACCTGAAGACAAGGAACTTTTTACACCCTTTCATTCTTTTGTTAGTTATTGTAGGTTCTTATCATCTCTGTAGTTGTAACAAAATCAACTTCCAAGTCTGATAAAGTTGGGTAAAACAAAATAACCATGAGCAATTCCTGGAAATCTTATTCTGTAGTTAGTGTTAATGTGTACACCCAAACCTTCAGTTTCTGAACGAATAACTTTAGGAAATTTGAACACTTTGGATAAGAAAATCCGTTGGCATATTTGTCCTTAACTTTGGGGACTGTTGTTATTTTGGAACATCAACTAGCAATGCAAGTAGTGCAGTTTTGCTTCTTCTCTTGTGATGTTTACTGGACTGATGAATGATACTATTGAATAAGGCTTCTGGCATTGTACTTAAAATGTCACCTACACCTTAGATTTTTTGTAATATTTTTCCATTGTACAATGATCCTCAATGTAATCCATAATCTATGCAACTTTTTATATTAAAGTTTTTGTCCCTGTTTCACTGTGATCACATAACTGAGTGTACATGAATGATAACTGTAATAAGGAACAATGTCATTTAGGGTAAAATTAATTCTCTGGTTTTTTATTCCAGTGAAATGGTTTATTTGGCTGTATGTGCAAATATGTTCATGAAATAATATATGTCTGGCAGGGTGCTTGAAAAGGACATTGTTAAAGGTAAGTCCAGAAATTTGATGGATACTTTGGACAGAGTGCCTAATGTGGGAGAAAAGCCCAAGACAGGAGACAAACTGCCCAAACGTAACAGTCATTCTAGTGATGGAGACAAATACATGTCATATATCAAGGTTGGGCTCTCCACTTATTTTTTTTCTCTTTTCAAGCAATACTTAATTGGCAGAGAAACAGCTGGTAACTGGGTCAGTTATTTCTTCAGTATCAATTATTAGAGGGACAGCAATAGTTGCTCAGTTATGTGAAATCAATTATTAACATTGAAACTTATAAATATTTAGACACTGGCTTATTTTTTTCGGTGACTTCTTTGTTTCCTATTACTTTGTTGGGGTTAGGTATTTTAGGGTAACTTCAGTTATATATAGATTTAAAAACAACAAAAGAGGGGTATTTCTGAAGATATTTTTTTTGTTAGGGCATTTGCTAATTGTTTTCTTTATCCATTGTTTCAGATTAGTAGGCAGCAGCATGAACTTGTTAAGAATATGAAGCAGTCTGGTAAAAGCATTCAATCTAGGTCCCTTAACCGTGTTTTGGGTAACCTTGAAAAAATTAATGTACAACCATACAATATATTTGTCAAAGAGGAAAAGAAGAAGTTGCAGGAGCGTTGGTTAGTGAGATGTTCACGTGGCCATATACTTATGCAAATAGCTTATGATTGAACAGATTACATTTTAAAACTTTTCTCGTGATTTCTCAATAGAATATATTTTATTTGCATAGGTTGCTACTAGTAAACAAAGACCTCCCTGAAGCATATGTGAATTGGAAAGAGAGACAGAGACAAAGACATGCTGTGATAAACTCTTTGGTGGCAGAGATGAAGGATAGATCAAATTCATTCATAGAGGTTTGTTGTAGAGTTTTCTTATTAGAGTCTTCTATAATTTGTTATAATTTGATTGCATATCTTGTATCAGTTTCTCAGTTTCCTTAGTCCCATGTCATGGGCATTTTTCATAATAGCTTACTTAAAAAAATTCCCTCAGGAAGAGGATGATGTAAACTCAGGTAGTGAACTTAAGGATCAGGATGATATGAATTCAGGGAGTGAACTCCATGATCATGTCACGGGCAACATTAATTCAGGGAGTGAACTTCATGATCAGGATGAGGACATGAACTCTGGGAGTGAACTTCAGGATCAGGACAATGACAACATGAACTCAGAGAGTGAACTTCAGGATCAGAATGAGGATAGCATAAGCTCTGGAGGCAAGCCGAAGGATCAGAATGATGATAAAGTCAATGCAGGAGGTGAGGTACAGGATCAGAATGAAGATCAGGGGGAGGATAGCGTAAACTCAGGTGATGAGCTTCAGGGTCAGGTGAAGGATGGAGATCAGTCTGACTTGAAGGATGATGAAGATTTTATTTCTAGGTCCCCCGAGCATCAGTCCCTGCACAATTCTTATGTTGGTGGTGATGACGAGTTCAACCCCATGACTGTGGATACAGAAAAGAATCTTCTTTTATCAAAATCAAATAATACTTCACCGAATAAAGATGGGTATTCAAGGAATATGAACTCTCGGGATGTTTCTGTTGATGAAGGAACGCCTTTCTCTTCCAGTGGTGATGTCTGGCAAGGAGTTGAAATGCCACACTCATACTATGATTCTGCAGTGACTCATGAGTACACTGCCAGTGGGTTATCATTGGCTAATCCTCAAGCCAGTGAAGAGCAGCCAACCCGTATAATTGATCTTGAAACTGATTTGTGTCAAGAGACCGGGAAAGAGTTGTTAGGTAGGCAATTAGATGATGGTACCTTCAGCTCTTACCAAATCCAGGATCGAAGTGTCTTACTTCCATCTCTCTTTAAAGGCGAGGGGCTGTTACCGTATCATCGTCAACAGAAAGGAGCTGATTTAGAGTTCCAGACTTCTAACAATGTTATGATGGGTGATGGTCAATTTTCCAGTCATTTCAAGGAGCCCTTACAAACGTCACTGACATTGGACCAGGGCCGCAGGAGAGCTACTGAGGTTTTCATGCCAGAAAACATGTCACATAATATTTATTCAGATGGAGGAAGGTACTCAATCCCCAGGCAAGATCCAATGATCCCCAGACAAGAACAATTAGTACCCAGGCAAGATCCAATAATCTCCAGACAAGAACAATTAATGCCCAGGCAAGATCCATTGGTTGCAGTAAATATGACGGATTGGACTTCTAATAATGCTCGCATAGCTGGGCCTTCCCAATCTCACTTAAATACTGGAGATTTTATTGGTAATCATTGGTTTCCTGCCGATCAACAAATTCGTGGTGGCTGGAACGGATCTGACAGTGGTAGTCTTTCAAGTCAAAGTCTTGGCACTGGAGCTAGCTCTGATCAGAGTTTATTTAGTATTCTGTCAGAGTGTAATCAATTACGTTCAGGTAGCTCTTATGATTCAGTTAGAAATACTGACCAGTTTGTTGCACACAGAACTTATGGATTAGTAGATGCAGGTACGCCAAGGGTGAACACAATTGGACCACCGGCGGCTTCTCATCCATTAGATTACTTCACCGGACGTGAAGCAGCCAGTGGTCTGGTGCCTGATGATATGACATGGATGAGCTTGCCACATCAGAATTCATCATTACATGATCAAATGGGAAAGCCATACCTAAGATCATGGAACCGGTAGTGAATGTTTTACCAAATGTTAGCTATGTAAGCTTGACAGTGAGAAGAAGTGCACAGTTGTCCATGTGATAGAATTTTGACTTAAGCAAGATCCAGAGAAGGTGGGTACACACATACCCTGTAAGATGAGATAGGTTTCTGTACATACCTATACTGAGACCAACTCAACACCATGTACATATCTAGATATTAGATGCGCAGGAAAGAAACCAAGGTTATTAGGCAAGTTACATATTTTATTCTTATTTTTTATTTATTTTTTTCTTTGCTTCTAGAGAGACATTCTTTAATAATTTTGGAAGTAAGAAATGCTGGAGGCTGCTCCCTCTTTTTTGAGTCACCTACTTTCACTTCTTTTCCATATATACTTCTGCTCTCCTCTCCTGTATGACTATCGTTTTATAATTAATAATTTTTTATTGAAATATTTTTAATTATTAATAAATAATAATTGTTAAGTTGATTCTTTTTTCCTACTTGGAGAATTCAAGATTTTTATTCTAAGAAATGAAGCTCCACTGTTATTTTTTCTTCCTCAATGAGTACTTTTGAAAACAATACAATTATGAATGAATTTAATCCTAATATGTTTGAAATATTACATTTGATTAAAAAATTGATAAATTTTGAGTATAATTGTATTTGGAGGCAGAGGAAGGGACACCTCGTTCAATACATCGGCATGGGTCGACATGTAGTCAGATGTACATACTAGCAATATTACCGTAGTAATAATCAATATTAGATTAAAAAAAATTAAGAATAATTAATGGAACGGGAAAACCCTAAAAATAAGATAGGACTATAAATCCTAGGTCCATAAAGGTCATATATATATATATATATTTATTGTTCATAAAATGTGATTTTTTTATTAATGTGTTTACTTATATATTGCAAACTGTTAATTTAAACATCAAACACCTCAGAAAATGACGTATAAGAGTAAAAAGAGTGTAGAAAGATACATGTGACTAGGGGGACATTTTGGTACTGTAAGAATAATAATATTTAGACGGTGGTCCAAAGAATAATAGTATCATTTTTAAATTGGGTAGGTCTGTTTCATGTCTAAAAATGTTATTTATGTGAACATATTTTGTCGATATTTATTACTTCATAAAAAAATTAATTTTATTTAATAAGTAATATTTCATATTGTTTTCACTTTTTAATTTTATTAATTAATAAAGTAAAATTTTCTGAATTAGTAAGGGGGAGCTGGAGATACTTATACTACATCCCCACTAAATGCGAACATTTTGCTAGGAAATAAACTTCAGAAATATATTTTCAAAACTTGCATTAGATACGTATTATAGGAAATTTTTTATGATACAAGATCCTTTAAATTATGATTAATTTTAGAAAAGAAAAGTGTAATGTTTCTGTGATTGAAAAGAAAAATATATTAGTCTTAAAAAAAATCATTAATGCTCTTAAGAAATATTAAAGTTTGTAGAAAGGGTTTTACTCTAATTTCAAATGAGATTTATCTACATTTTCTTCTTCTTTTTTTCTGGGGTTTTATATTGTACTTCTAAGGGTTTCGTCTTGTATTTCTAATATCCATAATTGTTTTCGTGATTAATAAGGTTGGTGAGAGTAAATAATTTTTTATTGAATTAAGTGTTTAACCAAATTAACTGAGCGTCGAAGTTTATAAACTTTATTGTTTACCACTCCTTTTATTTCTTATTTTTGTTATCTTCTTGTACTTCGTTTCATTTTCTTCTTTCTCATTGTCCTTGAAAGAGATTGTTAGTTGAAAAGTGTTATAAACATGTGATGGAGGTGTTCATTGAAATTTAAATCGAAATCTATTATTGAGTGATGGATCGGTAGAAGAGGTTCTAAGTAATATTTGAGGATGATTGATTGGGTCAATTTTTTTTGGTGTTTATAGATATGGAATTAGCTAAGAAGAGAGACTTTTACACTGTAGATTTTGGAATTAACTTTTACACAACATATATTGGAATTAACATTTACAAATCAAACTTATTTTTAAACTTTGAACCTGTGAAAATAGGGTGTATGATGAAATGCCTTTTTTCTTCCTGCATCAACAACCTTTCCACTCCAGATTCCTTTTTTTTTTCATTTAAATTTTGAATTTTTTTCTTGAGTTTTTGTTTTTAAAATATTCAACATATAAAATATTATTTTTAAAATAGATATTCAGCCAGTATCACGAATTAAAAAAAATCCAAAAAATTATATGGGTAGCAATGGAGTAAATAGAGCAGGTGTAATCGATTTCTTTTTAATGTGGTGAGATTGTGAGTAGATATTATTCTTGTGTAATTCAATCTGTTATTATTTCTAGTTTTTTTAACATCAACAAAAACACTCTTAACTCCAATATCTTATCTTTAATGTTTCCTTCTTTGTTATTTAACCCTTCACTTTCTATATATAACCAACATAATGATTATCATTCAAGTTATCTATTATTTTTATTACTATTGAACTTAAGGACTCAATTGGTATTGAACCTAACACTACACAAACCTCCTTAACATTAACATATAAAATTAAAAGTTCTTTAAATTAATTTTAATTATTCATCAAATTTACATTAATTATATGTGTGTGCGCGTGCATGTCTGTATGCATAGAGATAAAAATGAAACAAATATGTATATACTGGTCTCTATCTTTATTTTTAATATAAGTATGAGTATGATATGATAGAGACAAAAATGACATAAATATATACATACTCATCAATGTATCTTTATCTTTAATTTTAAAAATTAAATATTATTCATAGTTACATCGATATATAATCAATATAAAATTTCTTCGTCAAAATGAAACAAATTTAGATAACATCTTGATAAATAATTCATTTGTCATGTCCTTACATACATCAAAAAATTCATCATAATTTTTCTTTATAAAAAACATATTAATATCTACATAAATGATTTTTTTTATATAACAAATGAATATGTTATTGTTTAGTTTTTTTCTATTAATAAATATAAATCTAAAACTTTTAACCAAATTTCATAATAACCTTTTAACATAACTTCTCAGTTTTTTGGTTATTTTTTTTTTCATTCATCTATGATATCTCCTTTAATATGGCTTAAAGAATGAACTACAATTATAACAGCTAGTTTTCTTTAGTTTATACTTTAATAGATTCTTAGCTTGTCATAGTTTGCATATGTGTGATCATTTTAAGATACATTTATTACTTTAAATAAATTAAATAATTTTTGTTTGCAATAAAAGATGCCCGATATCACTTTACATATAAAAATATCATGTTTTAAGTATAATACTAATTCCTAAAAAGGGGCCTACCAAAAATAAGTAAAAGTTATTATAAGTATAAGCAAAGGAAGAAAAATATGCTATCTCGCAATTTAACTTCAGTTTAAGATTTTGTACACAGATTAAAAAAATGATAAATGTATATATTTTTCTACAATTTTATTATATAGTTTTATCCTCTCCATAAATATATTACATATACTTCACTCATTTATCAATAAGAGATAACTTATCTGAGAATAATTTTAAAAAAATAATTAATAAATAAATAGAAAATATACGTTACTTTTAGACAAATTACAAGTACTAAAACTACAGAGATTTGTGTATAAACTTTCTATCAAAATGTGTTTTGATGGTTCTTAGATTTGAAATCAAAAGTTACTAAGATACAACCAAAATTATGACTTTTTTTTATGCAATATTTTCACACTCACTAATAAAGAACAACTGCTTAACGTCATCACATTAATATTTAACTATATTTTTAACTTAAACTACTAATATGTATTAGTATATATTACTATATTATTAGAATCTATATTTTTTTAATTGGACAAATTTATTCTTTGATAAATAAAAAAATAATTTAATGTATTTAACTAATAAAGTAAATTATTAGATAATATTTTTATTTCCAAATAACTAAATAATTTATCATTTAAAAGATAAATATTATATAATTTTTTTTAATATTATATTTACAAAGTTACATATATATACTTTAAATTATATTCTTTTATTTTTAAATAATTACTCATAAAAAAATAGAAAAAGAAAACTTAGAAGGAATAAATCTATTTTGAGAAGATAGAAGAATGTTTGAACAAATCAATTTGACAACGAGACACACGACACACACGTAAACAGCGTATGTTCACTTTGCAAACTATGAACAATAATAACCGGTTGGCCATGAAGATTTGTGTTTTGTAGACAACGTTGTTGGTGGTGGTAGTTTCATCTCAAACATGAACATGCTTTTCTATTTTAAATTTATATTTTATCATGACAGAGACATTTTTGTTTTTTTGGTTTATGCGTGGTTGTTGCAGCAGTGTGAAGCATCTTATGCCTAGTTTGCGAAGCATGAATCTTATTCCATAATGTGTTGCGAAGAAACGCTTTGTTTCTTCTTTCTGTGCTTTTGGATATAAATTAGAGTTTGTTTGATTTTTTGGTTTGGTGCAAAAGAAAAAGAAAAAGAAAAATGACACGTTCAGGTTGGGAAGGAACGCTTCATGATCATCACAAGAAGGAAGTTATTCGGATTGAACGTGAATCTGTTATTCCCGTTTTGAAGCCTCACCTTATCATGACATTGACCAACCTTATCAGTATGTTTCTTCTTCTCTCCTTCCTTTCAATCCCAAACAAGTTCTTTTCTTAATTCACATTTTTACAGCCTTTTGTTTTTTTAGATACGTTTTTAATTTCTTATATGTGTCTTCGTTTGTTAAGAAATCTATATTAAGTAACAAAAATTATCCCATCAATATAAATGGATCCTTTGTCTCTATAAGGGATAGCATATAGAATAGTTATCATATAAACCTTATTATCTGATTTTTTTTCAATAAGAAAAATAGAACTTATTCGTCATTTTATGTTAAATATTATTTTTTTATATTAATCATAAAATCTAACCCGTATATTATATGGTAATATTTTTTCTTGGCGTGATTGTGAGTTCAGTAGAGGCTCTCCTAAATTTATGCAGTCAGAATTGTTGTCTGGGTCTGTTTTTTGCATTATAGTAAGAGCTTGTAGTTTTAGTTATACCTCTAGCTGGTTTATGAATCTTGTTTTCTTGCATTTTTGCTACTGTTTCTGAAATTACCCAAAAATTATAAGCAGATATGATATGATTGTGACAACAATATCAGATTGTAATTTTAAATGCAGATAGTTGTTGCAGTTTTTTTCTATGTATAGAAATTAAGAGAAAAAGCAGTGGATGAGGCTGCTGCTGCAATATGGTTGCAAAGACCACCAATATCACAAAATAGTGAAGCAGTGATTGTAGTTGAAACTATGATTGTAGCAGCAATTAAAAAAGTTGTTAGCATCTTTGAAAATTATTGAGTTTAATTTTCAATCTTTGATACAATGATAGTGTAAATCCTTTAAAACTGCAATCGTTTGAAAATATTCAAATATATGACTTAGAGTTTAATTTGTAAGAACTATAAGTTAAAAGGTTTTTAATGTGTAAACCAACTAGAAATCATAATAAATATAAATTTAAAGTAATTGCTATTAAAAATACCAAACTTGCTAACTAATGCAAAAAAAAAGAAAAAAAAACTTTTATCTTATCACCATTCACTCCATGACTTGTAAAGTAATTTACTTAAAAAGTCAAAAACTATATCAAACATGAGAATCATGATTGGATAACAATATAAATGTTGACTCTGTAAGTGCAATCAATTTAAATTCTTACTAATTAGTTGGTGCATCTGTGGTGATAAAAGTTTGCAGTTCTTATTCAGATGAAATAATATATGAACAACACCACAAGCCTCTTTCAAAAGCTTGATATTCTCTTTGTAGACTTTTGAGTGATTTGGGTATTATGTGCAGAACATAGTGCTGACCGAGTTGAATTTTTGAAGCTCTGCAAGAGAATAGAGTACACAATCAGAGCTTGGTACCTTCTACAGTTTGAGGACATGATGGTATTATTTTCTTTACCATTTCTTGTGATACAACTAGTCTAGTGATATGGTTGGAAGCCTGATTCTTTTCTCTTACTTTTCTGTGCTTAAAAGCAAATCTATTCTCTCTTTGATCCTGTATCCGGGGCTCAGAAGTTGAAACAGCAGAAGATACCTAGTGAAGAAGTTGATGTTCTTGAACAGAATTTCTTGGCTTACCTTTTTGAGGTACTTTGAATACTTCATGAATTTCCATTTTCTGTAGTTATCTATTTGTTCGGAGTCCTCGACTAGAAATGAGACTAATTTATAATATATAAATGGATACAAATCTCACCTTACAAACTGGTTTTCTCACCTTACAAACTGGTTTTGTAAGATTGAATTAGATTTAAAATTTACTTTTTAACATAGTATCATAACAATGACAGAACCTATCCTAATAATGATATTTTTTGTTTGTTGGTGTCATGCTCAAGTCCACTTCTTAATACTATGGACATCTCGTCTAAAGGCTAGGAAGTATAGACATGAAAATGTGGTAAATATTAAAGTATCCAAACAAATTTTACGCCCATTTAACACTATCCTTCGTTATCATTCGCTTTCTCTATTTCTTTACAAATACAATTTCTCTATTTCTTTACTAATGCAAAAGTTTACTTTTGATATGACCCTTCAGTCAGTGGGTTGTAAAATGGTAATTATTGCTGTCAAACAATCTTTTTCCAATTTAAAAAGAAGACTTGACAAGCGTATAATATTATATAGTATATGAAGTTTACATAGAATAAAAGTCTTAAATTACTAGCAAGAACTCATATTTTAAAGACAAGCATTAGTATAAGGTGTGTGAAAGATTTATTCAATTGCTTAGCCTAAATGTATATGGTGAATAAGATAAAGCATAACAAAATACTCAAGGACTGATTGAAAAATTGTGACTTCACGCAGGTCATGAAAAAAAGCAACTTCAAGATTGCTACTCAAGAAGAGATTGATATTGCTCTTTCTGGACAGTATCTTCTAAATCTTCCCATTACAGTTAATGAATCCAAGGTTTGCAACAATGTTTCTACCTTTTTACTCAATATCCAGGCATAATATATGTGCCTTAAATGGCCCAGATGACTTTGAATGCTTGATCGTGCTGTTAACAGTTGCTGATCTATGTTTTGCTGATGTAGCTTGACAAGGTTCTTTTGAAAAAATATTTTCAAACACATCCGCAAGATAACCTTCCAGATTTCCATGATAAGGTATGTCTTTAAATTTTAGTACAAGGGGCACTTATCCACCAAGGTACTTTTGGTGCTGTTAAGAAGAATTGCGCCTATTTACTTTGTGAATCAGAACTACTTATTTGATAGGATGAACATAGAAACATCAATCAGAATTATTTGTTTACTCGATTTTAATATTTTTGAGAGGGGAAAGCTGACATATACTGTTGCTGTGAAGTATATTATTTTTCGACGTGGCATTGGAATTGAGCAAACGACTGATTTCTTTATCATGGAGAAAGTGGACATGCTCATAGCACGGTTTTGGTCATATGTATTAAGAATAACCGGGTAACGAACAATCACACTGGCAGTTCAATTTTATTAACTTATGTTCATGAAGAATTCATTAGGAAAATCATGGTTTCTGTAGATGCAGCATGGCATGTTTTTTAGGTTATTTCTGCAGAAAACTTTAGCACATGATTCTTGCAGGTTGGAGAAGTTTTTTTACGGAAGGTCAAAAGGGAGTGGGACAAAGGATCCCAAGAAGGAGGATGAATTGGAGTCAGAAGATTATCAGGATGATGTATATGAACGGATACGTCTTGAAAAAATGCCATTGAGGTCTTGCTGAATCTCTGTGTGGTGTTGTTGTTATCTTCTTTTCTTTCTGGAGTAGGACTTTTCATACTTCATTCACAACATTCACCCTTGAAGTATGCTTATGGCTGCCTCTTCTTGAAATAAGCATTCACCTCTCACTTTGATGTATTCTGCTAATTTAGATTTGTGTAGAGTAAAAGCTGAATGTTAGCAGTTTCCACTTTATCAAAGATTTAAATTCTCACCTTCTGATCAATATTAATAATGGTTATTTATTCTAGAATCATCACAGTTACCAGCAGTATGGCATTGGAAAATTCTAAACGTTAACAGTAGTCCTCCAGTATAAAGTTTGAATACAGATTTTTGCAAAGGATTTTGAAAATTATTCTTATTTGTTAAATCTCAATTTTCTATCAAGAAATCCAACTACTCGTTTGTCTGAGAAATGCATGTTGCTTTGTCTCACAACTGCTGAGCTCATGCATGTAAAACTGTTTAAATCTTGAATGTTTGATTATCTTGTCACTCATGAAATTGTTTGCTAATTTTCAGAATCGGTAGTTTGCTGAACAAGAACACAATCCAAGAACCAACATTTGATAGGATAATTGTTGTCTACAGGTAATGCTCAATTGTATCTCTGATCTCTACTATGCTAATTTGTAAAATGAAATTATTTGATTGTATTATATAGACTGAAAATTATAGAACTGTTAAAAGAAATAATAAAAAGTTTGATGAAAATTATCCCTCTTTGTATAAAATTATCAGTCTTTCCTTGCATTTCTGATCTATATGCATGCTATTTTGAGAGAACAAAATCCTTTCATTTAAGACAATGATAGCTATAAACATGCTTTTTTATCATCATCTTAAGAAATACCTAAAAGACTATTCTGAAAAATCTCATATAAGTGTATTGTGTGAAAAACAAGGATACAAGTAATGCTTGGATAGAATCAAACAAGATGTAAAAAATCCATGAGTAGTTGTATTCTACTGAATTCTAAGTTGGAAAATGATTCATCAGGCCAGCTAGCACCAAATCAAAACAAGAAAGAGGAATTTATGTGAAGCATTTCAAAAACATTCCAATGGCTGATATGGAAATAGTTCTTGTGAGTTACCTCATTTGTGAATCATCTCATCAACATCCAATGGTTGTGTTATTACCAATTACCTATTCCCCCAAGGTGCATAAGTGATGACTTGGTCACAACTTTTTACTTGACAGCCAGAAAAGAAAAATCCAGGATTGACTCCAATGGATTGGGTCAAGTTTCTTGGATCTGCTATAGTTGGGCTGGTTAGTTTTTCAATCACAGGTTTGAGTTTTTGTGATACAGTGCTTTTGATCTTTGCCATCTTGCACTTATGCAGTTGATATGTTTTTCTTCATAGGCTGCTGTAGGTAGTTCTCTTGATGTTGATAAAGCTGATTTGAGGGTCATTGGTGCTATTCTTTCCACAGTAATTGGATATTTTGTAAAGACATATTTCACGTAAGCATGTTACCTGCTTCCTTCCCTTGGAAATATATGCTTTGCATTTATCAGTTTGAGATTTTCACCTGCATTGCATTTAGTTCAACTACTGCATACCATTCAAGTTTTCTTAAGGCTAGATCAGATATTGGGTGCTCTTTATCTATCTTCGAATCAAGTATTAACTTTTTTTTCTCAAATAGGAGATTATTTTTTAATAATCAATTATTTATTCCAAAAGTCCCCCACTCTATATTTAGATTCAAAAGACACTTCATGGTATGGTTTGACATCACTTAACTTTGAACCATAACATTTATATATAGAATTTAATTGAAAATTTGAATGATTTTTTAAAAACTAAAATTATAATTAATATTGGAATTCATATACTAAAATAAAGTTGTTACTTAAACACAAATATTAATTTTAATATAAATCTTCCTACAACCGAACTAAACTGATAAACAGTGTACACTCCCAAGACTTTTTCTTTTTTTAAATTTTAATACTTCAAAAATTTAAGCAAAAGTAAATACACCTTCGAGAATCAAAGTTATAGTTTAGTTTTTTTAAAAAAAAAAAAAAGAAAATGCTTATATTTAACATGAAATCTTCGCCAAATCATCTAGTTTCGGAACGAGAAGATTCTTAATCAAATCAGTTGTCAACTTTGATAAAATAACACATTTAATTCCAGAAGTTAAAGTTTATGAATGAAACTTATGCTATATTATCCAATTGATTATATATATATATATATATATATATATATATACACACATATACATGCAAAATTCCAAAAAGTATGGATTAACAAGTTCTTGGTAAATGAGTCTATGTCTCCTTTGTGGCTTCTAAATGCTAAGTTCTCATAGGTTCCAACAAAACTTGGTCCAATACCAAAATTTGATTACACAGTCAATGTATGACAAACAACTGGACAGTGGAAAGGGTACACTTCTCCATTTATGCGATGATGTCATTCAACAGGAAGTAAGTGCTAGCTTGATGTGCTTTTTTTAACTACATTTTCTTTTACCTTTTTAAATTATTTCCAATAAACTAGTATACATGATTTTTGTTAACTTGTTTTTGCCATTACACGAAAACAATTATAGGGCTTCAGATGGAAAAACTGTAATTGAAAAATATTTGTCTCCACAATAACCATGTCTGTCTAAAATTGGTCAAAGTTCACATGACCTTGCTAAAGGCATTAAGCGCCAGCTTAAGCATGAAATATCAATTTCTAGTAGATCATGAAGTATTACACTCATCCTTAGGCATCCCCATTACAAATAAGATTAAATGATATTGACTCCAAAGACTAAAACTAGAAAAATGCTTTTTATTCAAGTTACTTATAAACCTAAGTATTTACCAGATTATAGATTATAATTAAACTCACTTTATAAATCAATTTTGCAAGATTGAGTTTCCCATAAGATAGGTTATGTGGCATAAGTGTTATATGACTAGGGGATTTGTCAGAAAAAACAATTAGATTTTGAGAGGAAATTTGGAATATGTGATAGGGACTCATACTTCAGGAGGAAATTGTGAGAATTTGAAGTATGAAATTAGGTTACATTCTACTCAAACTTAATACGTATATTTTTTAATCTGTTTTAATTGCTACGATTTTACATGACAGAGGCTTCAAGGAACTAAAACGTATATGTATACGCAGCTCTACCTGTTTTAAGTTTTAGGCCAGCTTGTGATTTTGCTGCATGTAGCTATGCACAGGGCTAACATCTAAAAGTCACGCTGATCTTGTGATCTTATGTGCAGGTTAAAGAGGTAATAATATCATTTTTTATTCTGATGGAGCAGGGGAAAGCTAATAGACAAGTATGAACATCACAATCAATTAAGCAATCTTGTTTTCTTTACAATTTTTCAATTTTAACTTATGAAACAAGAGTTTTGTAGATATACTCATTCATATAAGCTATATATGGTAATGTGAATCAGGACCTCGATAAATGGTGTGAGGAACTAATCAAAGACGAGTTTGGGGAGAGCTGCAATTTTGATGTGGATGACGCAGTTCAGAAATTAGAGAAGTTGGGAATCGTCACCAAGGTAGACTCCCTTCCAAAGTGATTATGTTTTTGGTTTGATTAAGTATATAATGCTTCAATACTTCCATGATTAGTTTAATACTTTATGTTATCACTATGTTCGGTACTGGTGATTTTGAAGCCCTGTCTTTTAGCCAACTGCATAAGTCGTTTTATTTAATCTATACACAAGTTGTGTCCATTTTATACATCATAGTAAGTTATATATACCACTTATTTACTTTTTTTCCATCCTATTTCTAGTTAACCAATCAAGGAATAAAAGTTGTGTTTAGCATGATTGAGGATTAACTGATAGTATAATTTTGTTTATTAGACGCTTCAAATGTATATGTAAGAGTACATTAAATGGTAATAAGAACTTTTAGACATCTTGTTTGTGACTTTATGGCTATTTTGTATGTATCTTAAGTAAATATGTTCATAAAAGTGGGAGACGACTTCCATTGTTGTTACCTAAGATGCTTGATCAGAAGATTAAGAATTTTACTTAACTGAAAGCTTTCCTTTGAATTCAGGATGTCATTAACCGATACCAATGCGTTGGGCTGAAACGGGCTAACGAGATCATAGGCACCACCACAGAAGAGCTTGTCCTCAAGGCAAGGCAGGGAAACACCTCTCCTTGATGGTGGTTTGGAATATTTGTCAATAATCATGTTAAGTCCCATAATTTCACTGTAAAACTTCCTCGTCCTTTTAAATCATTGCAATGTTCCTGAAACAATTAGTAAACAAATAAAGTCTTGGCCAGTTTCATTAGTATAGTTTTTTGAAATAGTAGGGAAATTGGATCTATTACCTTAAACCCCATGGCCAGTATTTGAGTTTTACATTCCTTCATCCCTTGCCCCCCAGGCTCACGTGTTTATGCTTCAGAAATCACAACCAAGATCAATAGTATAGCAAACATTCCAAGATCTCATGGTCGCGTTTCTGAATAACATCTCAAGTGCAGTTTAAAAAAGATTTGTACAAAGCTTTAAAATAAAATCTATTTATCCATTTAAATATATTAAACCCAGAATGCAGGCTTTGATGTCATTTCAATATCTACTACTATTTTTGTCACACATTTCACAGTTTGATTTACATGACTCTTATTATCATAAAAACTGTAACCCTATCATTATGAAATCTAGCATAGGAGGCACATGGTTAACTTTTAAATAAAAGTTTTCGGTCAGAATCTAGCAACATTTTGTGAATTACATCAAGACTGGTATCTACATATGTCCAAAAATGGACAGAACAAACGCAGAAATGAGAAAACAAAAGAAAAGTGCATAACATCAGGGCTATAATCACTCAAAGGACTTACAAAAGCTACGAAAATAGTATAGAATGTATAACATCAAATGTGTACAACCTGAAGCTACTATAAATAGATTTCCTTTTCTCATAAATAATCACGTTAACATATGTTCACAAAGTTCTTCAACATCAAAATATTATGAAGGCAATGCAAATTAAAACCCTAAAGCAGTATGCATTGGCTAAATAATTGCAATGCAGCTGCAGCTATGAATGAGAAACACAATTTAAAGGGTTGATCAATTGGTTAGGAGTTAGAACTAGAAGTTGAATCAGAGCATATCTCTTGATGAACCAAAAGCCTTGCCTTGTTAATGTTATAAAAGCAGAGGAAAATATGCTCCTCAAGATCCTCGACCTGGTGTAGAAACCCCTGGTGACTCTTCCAGAGCTGCTTGATTACTTCCTCCACAAGATACCTCTCATTCCCCCTCTCCAATCCAAGGCTCACTAATACTTTGTCCCCCTCCACCGCCGCGCGCAGCCGCGACACCAGGGCGTCGATCGTCCCGAGATCGTTGCTCAAAACGTAAGCACATTTGGCAGCAGCATGAAGCTGCCTCAGTCTCGCAAGTTCTCTCTTCTCAGAGGCACAAACCGGCAGAGCAAAACCGGCACCACTTCCAGCAATTGCAACCACAGCGTGCACCGCGACGGCCACGGTGGCGACAATCACGGCAGCTGCGACCACAACGAGGCAGACGGCTGAGCCGCGGAGGACGCGGCGGGAGAGGCGTAGATTCCTGAGCGATCTGGCGGCGCGTCGGTCGAGGGTGGTTTTGAGGGCGGAGAGGTCGGTGCGGATGGCGGAGAAGGTGTGGAAGTCGGGGATGGGGTTTGGGAGGGTGTGGAAAGGGTGGAAGACGTCGAGGGCGCGAACGCAGTCGTTTTGGGAGGGGTGGGAAGGGTCAAGGGTTCGGAAGAGGTCGAGGAGCGGCGCGTGGAGGGCACGCGCGTGAAGGACGGAGTGGTGGAGGTTGAGGCAGAGGTCAGAGGCAGCTTCAGTGTGTTCAAAGAACGCGGACAAGAGGCGTGTGAGGCTCTCGGGGTTGGAGTGGGCTAGAGCTTGCTGGACGCGCTCGCGCGTGGGTTTGAGGTGGTAGGCTTGGGCCTCGACGTTTGAGCGAATCTCTGAAAAAGACGTGGTGTGTACGGCGTGGTGGTACTCGTCGGAGATGGTGTTGTTGTTACCTTGGGAAGGGTTTTGAATGGTTGAGGAAGAAGGTGATGAGTTGAAGGAGAAACATTTGAGAATTGAAGGCATTTGGTTTTACTGTTAGCAATGAAGTGTATGACAGTGCTCTTCACCAATTTAAGAGAGTGATCATGCTTCTGCTTCTTCTTTTTCTTCTTCTGCAAGAAAGAAGGGAGAGTTAATGTGTGCAAGTAACATAACGGCGGATGGATAATTTTTTTTTTTTGAAAATTACTATTATTACGTGTATACTTACCTTTTTATGTAAGAAATTAAAGTAGGAGGGTAGAAAAAAAAAATATGCAAATTAAATAACGTGCGAATTTCATAAGAAGATATTATATAAATTCTTTTTAAAGATTTAGTTATTGTTATTGTTATTTTAGGAAGTAGTCGAAAGAAAATAGAAAATATAATCTTGATATTTAAAAGAAATATTAATATTAGAAAATGATATTATTGGATATTGTTACCTATTATTGGATATTATTATATAATTAATTAAAAGATATATTAAGATATTAGTATATATAATTAGATATTATGGTTAGATAATAATAGTATATATAATTGATATTATCTATAATTAATTAGAGTAAAAATATTAAGATAGAAGATATTAGAAACTTATCAAAATTTAAAGATAAATTTTTTTTATTTTAGTTGGTTGTTATTATTTATGGGACTTTATTATAAATACAGTATCTATGTATATATTTCACACAAGAAAAAATAATCACATACACAGTTGTCACTATATTAGACACCTCCTATCTATATAGAAATTTTTGTCATTAGAAAAATAAAAAGACTGTGCAAGAGGGAGAGACACCTCCTATCTATATAGAAACTCTTATCATTAGAAAAATAAAGAAGGGAGAAAGAGAGAGAGAAACGTTATTGGAGAGAAGAAAATGATCAACCTTAGTGCAAAGAGAGATTTGTTATAATCCTTGGGATATACATAAAACCTTAGTATTCACCAAGGTAAGGAGTGTAAAACACGGATAAAAGAAAAATATCTTTTATTTTTATTTTACAATTTTTAATATTAAATAATTTAATTTTGGTATAGTATTGATGATAAAAGTGTTTAAGAGTTGTATAAAATTAATTACTAATTATTTTTATTTTTATTTTCAAAATCAGTTTAATTATGAATTATATAAATATATTTGCATAACATTATCGTGTATTCGTCTGGGTGAAGCATGTTGTCTCTGGAGGGAGCTGCGTTCGAATATATTTGCACAAAAGAATTTTTTTATTGATAAATACATATTTTTTTCTAATAATGTTATTTTAAAAAATAAAAATAAAATATATCTTTTTAAACTTTATTAATAATTAAATAATTAAAAATTCTAAAAGGATAAAATTAAGAATAAAAAAATAGTACACAAACATATTTCATTTTTAAGGCAAATAAGTTTAAAAATAAAACAATTATATAAAATAAAATAATAAAATAACTTCTATGTACATATGGCAGGAAATTAAATATAAACAACAATATTAAATGATTACAAAATAAATAAATAATAAAATAAATTTCTTAATTGTACCGTATAGAGTATACTCTACACCAACTAAGTTCAACCAGTTCAAATTATGTTGGGTCATAACTGGACCAATGTTTAATCATTATTGGGCCAAAAGTCTACAGTTAAAATAACCAAAGATATATGATTAGAGATATTGATAAAGCTGTTGATGAATAACTAACCGAATCTTCAGGTAAGTTTGTTATTATTTCGTCTATGAAGCACTTATAAATACAATGACAGGGCCAAAAGCCAGGTACATTTAAGTGAAACTCCACTACGTTCTACTTATGTCCAATCAGGAATTAAATATTAAACTGTGATAAACAGTTCATAAAACCGCTCCTAACTTGAGCGTCGAAGTGCCTTTTGGAGGTATTCCCCCCATCCAAAGTCCAACCAAACGGCATCCAGAGTCAAACTGAGCGGCACACGCAACTCAAGCATTGGAAAGCAACAAAGCCATGTCAGAAAGGTTAGTCTCTCAATTCTACAAATCCCTACCGAAACATTTTGACGCCCACCGTGGAGATGTTTTTATATGTTAAGATGGATAACATGAATATTCCAAATGGTTTAGAAGTATAAATTAAATCATATAATATAAAGTGAATTTTGTTAAGATATGCCAAATATTCTATTAAAGGATATTAGACAATCAAATATTGTATTAGTTATAATTTAGATATTATTATAATTTGTGCATATATGTGCACCTATCATTCCTTTAATAGATGAAAAATTATAAGATCCTTGAATGTATATATATATATATGGTACTCTTTGAAATAATACATCAGAATTATTCTTTAAACCTTTTATTATGGTATCAGAGTCATGATTAGAGTCTATCCTAACGAGTTCTATGTGGACATTCTATTCTTCTATTCCACCCGTTATCGAGTCGTTATCGGACCACCCAATTTCTACCATCACGAACGAGATGTCTATACCTCAGTGTGAAGGAGGTGTGTTGGAAGTTCCACATAGACTAGAGATAAGGCCAATTTATAATATAAAAGTGAGGTGCAAACCTCACCTTACAAGTCGGTTTTGTGGGGATGAATTAGGCTTAAACCCACTTTCTAATATGGTATCAGAGCCAACACTGATATCCTCTACAATATAGGAATTAGTGCTTTTTTTCATTGAATATTTATGATGGCTTCTTCCGATGACAATCAATCGGAGAAACATGATTCTGGAACTTTCGCTGATTCCAAGAATTATATTTCTACTGCTGCCGGATTTGTGACCAAGTCAGGTATATCTAACTTTGCCCTTAATCTTTCTGTTGTTACTAAGGGTAGTGATTGGATAATTGATTCGGGTGTTACTGATCATATGACTTGTGATCCTCATATATTTAATAATTTTTTCTCTAATTTTTCTAAAACTGTTATTATTAATGCCAATGGGGTCTCATCTCCTATTGAAGGTATAGGTATTATATCCCTCTCACCCTCCTTATCGATTCCTGATGTTTTATTTGTTCATACATTAAACTGTAATCTTATCTCCGTCAGCAAGTTAACCAAATCACATTCTTGTGTTGCCTTGTTTTACCCAACCCATTGTCTTTTTCAGAACATCCATTCCAAGGAGAAGATTGCTAGTGGTAGAGAGAGAGTAAAGGATTGTATTATCTTGAAAATGTCTCACAATCAAACCATAAAAAAAGATTGACTTGTCTTGCGAACGATCACATACAAGATAAAAAGAAAAAAGAAATTTCGTTGTGGCATAGATGATTGGGACATCCCTCTTTTGGTTATTTAAAAAAATTATTTCCATCACTATTTCATAAATGCAATATTTCTGATTTTTTTTTATGAAACTTGTGTTTGGCAAAAAATCATCGTGTTGTGTTTCCTTTAAGCAATAACAAAACTGATTTTCCTTTTTCATTAATTCACACAGATGTTTGGGGACCTGCCCCGCAATCTACACATAATGGAAAAAAATGGTTTATCAATTTTGTTGATGATTGTACTCGGGTAACTTGGGTATATTTGCTTAAATATAAAAGTGATGTGTGTGATGTGGTTCGTTCCTTCTATCATTTGATTATTACACAATTTAACACATCTATTAAGGTCATTCGATCAGACAATGGAGGGGAATATTTTAAGACTGAATTATTAGAGTTCATGAACTCCAAAGGCATCTTGCATCAAACAACATGTCCTTATTCACCACAACAAAATGGAGTGGCTGAGAGGAAAAATAGACATATATTAGAGGTGACAAGATCACTTTTGATAGATGGTAATGTCCCATCTCATTTATGGGGTGAGGCTGTGAGCTCTGCCGTTTGTTTAATTAATTGAACCCCTTCTAGTGTGCTTAACTTTAGAAGGCTTTTTGATGTGTTATCTGATCATTATATCCTTCCTCCCATAGTTTATTTACCACCTCATATTTTTGGATGTGTTATATATGTTCACTTACACCCACATCAACGTACAAAGCTTGAAGAACGAGCGATCAAATGTGTTTTTGTTGGGTATGGATCAACTCAAAAAGGTTATCGTGCTTACCATCCACCATCAAGGAAATTTTATATTTCTATGGATGTGTAATTTAATGAGCATGAATTTTTTTATGTTGATTCTCCACTTCAGGGAGGCAATGAAAGTGAAGTGCATAATCATGATGTTGGTATGTTTGATTGTGAAGATAAATTATTGTGTGAGGATCATTCTGCAGGAAGTGAGCCAATCCTAAATATGGACCATTCTTTTCTGGATAATACAGTGTCTTCTGATCATAACCAATTGGCTCAATCTTCTCCACAGGTTCAACTTGACTATTTAGAGGTACCTTCTGATCTTATCTCTGATAATACTAATTTAGATGAAATTGATCATGGAATTGATTCTTCTCTGCGTGAGACCACCACCACACCAAACACTGAGTCTACTACTGTTCAATATATTCTTCCACCTCGTTCTAACCGTAGTCAACCTCTAGTTAAATATGAACCAAACCTCCAAGACAAAGTTAAAAATCCCATTAGTAAATATGTGTCATCTCATAGGTTATCTTAGTCATATGCATCATTTGTATCTCAATTATCTTCAATTTCTATTCCTAGTAATGTACAGGAAGGTTTGACAGATCCTAGATGGACCGAAGCAATGGTTAAGGAGATGACAGCTTTAGAAAAAAATAACACTTGGGATCTTATGTCCTTACCAAGAGGGAAGAAAACTGTGGGCTACAAATGGATCTTTATAATTAAGCATAAAGTTGATGGAACTATTGAGAGGTATAAAGCACGACTTGTGGCTTAAGGTTACACTCATTCTTATGGTGTAGATTACCAAGAGATGTTCGCACCAGTAGCCAAGGTCAATACTGTGAAAATACTTTTGTCGCTAGTTGCAAACCAAGATTGGCCTCTTCTACAATTTGATGTGAAAAATGCTTTCCTACACGAAGAAATTTCAGAAGAAATTTATATGGATTCCACCAGGCATGACTGATTCAATTGGAATGAAGGTTTGCAAATTAAAGAAGGCTTATATGGATTAAAACAATCCCCAAGAGCATGGTTTGGAAGGTTTACCAAGTCTATGAAGGCTTTTGGCTATAGAGCAAGTAACTTTGATCACACCTTATTTTTTAAGAGAGAAAAAGGAAAAATTACAGCTTTGA